CGAGAGAATAGATTCATTCATAGGAAAATGGATACATATTGAAGATATACTCCTAAGTGAAATAAATAAGTCACACATGTGTAAATACCAAATAGTTTCCCTGGTGTAAATAATCTGCAACAATGCATAAGATTCTAATAAGGTTACTGACATTTAGAAATGGGAAGAAAGGAGCTAAAGGTGTAGAGAAGGTGGGATGGGTAAGGGAAGAGTAAAAAGGGAAAAGAAAAAAATGTGAGAGAATGAAAAGATGGAAATAAAGTGTTTGTAGATGGGGAGGGGAGGAGGGGGTGAAGGGAGGGCAGAGGTAAGGGGAAACAATGAGACACAAGACTTGTCATGTAGAGGTACAAGATCCCAACAATGAATGTAACTGTACTGTATCCCTAAAATGTACCAATAAACTCAATTAAAGCTGAAAAAAAATAGGGCCTGAACTATATCCTCGGCCTTTTGTAATTTTTTTTTATTTTAGTTTAGTTTTTATTTTTATTTTCATTGATTTGTTTGTTTGTTTGTTTTTGAGACAGGATCTCACAAAGTCGATAAGTAGCCCAGTCTGAGATCTAACTTGGATCGTCCTGCCTCAGCCTCCAGAGCACCAGGATAACAGGTGTACACCACCACACCCAACATAAAACCTATAAAGTTCTTTCTATACATTCTCAACTACATTCCACCAATTTTAATTTTGTATTTTTGTTGGTACATGCTTGTGATACATCATGATTGCAAGCATCATGGGAAGTTGGCACAGAACAAGATATTTCTCGATTCCTTTAAAAAAATCCCTTCCCCTCCCCTCCCCGCACTTCACGGACCCTTTCACATATATAGGGACTTGGTGCATGTAGGTAGCACTTCACAATTCCCCCTTTTTTATCAATCTTTCAATTCCTTCCCTCCCTCCCCCTCCTTCTGTCTTTCAGTTCCCTTCCTATGTACCAAAAACCCATCTCACTATTGCCTACTGTCTATTCTTTATTTTGCACTTTGTTGTCTTTTTAGTGCATAATGCAGAATAATAAGATTCTTTTTGGTCAATTGGTACATGCATTTAACATATTTTGGTTATTTTCAATGCAATAACATTTTTCCCATTCCTCCTTCCTCTCTAAAAATCACCTTCTAGTTTTCTGTCATCTTTCCATTTATTTATTTGGTTTCTCATCTAAGAGAAAGCATGTGATATTAAACTTTCTGAGTCTGGCTTATTTCTCTTACCACAGTGATCTCTACCCCCATACATTTGCCCGCCATTTGATGTTTCTTGTCTTCCAGTCCCATCATAAATCTCTTTCTTCTGATGTTAATGTTGCTATAGTACACTTTTTTCTACTCTTTCACTTTCATCTTATTTGTCTTGAATTTATGATGATGTGTCTGCTATAAGATAGCATTTACTTGGATCTTGTTCCTTTTCATCAACTTTATTATCTCAGCCTTTTAAATTGGGTGTTTAAAGCATAAAATTTAATAGTCATTGATACGTTGGGCTTTAAATTTGGCATGTTGTTGCCTACTTGTTTTCTATATGACTATCTTTTTTGTTCTTCTGCTCCACCTTCACTGAATTCTACTCCCATCCTTCTACTGGGGATGAAACCCAAGGGCTCCCATGCTAGGTAAGCACTGTCTCTAAGCATACATTATTGGCCCTTTGCATTTTGCTTTGAGACACAGTCTCACTAAGTTGCCCAGGCTGGTCTTGAACTTGAATCCTGCTGTTTTATCTGCCCAAATGTCTCAGATTATAGGTATGTGTCACTGCGCTGAGCTCAAGGAATTCTTTTGTGTTGACTATTTTTAAATTTTTTCCTTTTTCCCATTTCTTTTGCTCTTAATTTCTCCTTATGGATTGGAGTCACTGTCTAGAGTCATTTCTGATTGGCCCAAGAGACTTCCTATCATTATTTCTTGTACTACAAGTCAGTTGACAAGGAATTCTCAGGCTTTATTTAGGAAAATCTTCATTTCACTTTGTCAGAACCTCCCTATAGATACAGCTAGGAAGGAGGCAGATGGGAGCAGACACAGGCCAAAGCAACAGATTTCCACCTTCCTACCTAAAAAGTTTAACAGTGTCATATGTCTCCAGCTACTTTCCAGAGACAGAGTTTGTCTCAAGCCAGTTTTGTTATTCTTCTTTGTAGAGATGATTTTTCCACTATCCTCACTTGGCCAGGGATAAAAGTGTCTTTTTTAAACTTAACTTCTTGTATTTTATGAAATAAAACCTTGAAAAGTGTTTTATGAATATCAATCATCATATGCCTTCCTCAGGCTTACAATAGGTTTGTTAATCCTTTTGGCCTGATATAATAGTTTACACTGAATTGTTTATTTATTCATTAATTTTATTTTTTTTGAGACAAGGTACCACTATGTAGTTCTGACTGGCCTAGAACTCACTCTGCAGTCCAGGCTGGCCTCTAACTCATAGTGATCCTCCTTGCCTCAGCCTCCCAAGTGCT